TGAATTACTTTAAGATTTCCTTGTAAAATATCAACCAATGCATTTTTATATGCTCACAAATGGCAAGATTTGTAGAAATGCTTTTATTCAAGAACTTCGTAACAAAATTTGAATTTCTTATTAAAAATATTTTTCAACACATTTGTGGGAATAAACCCTGGACTTTTAAAGAATTTTAATGGCTTTGGTAAATATTACAAACCATACGCTTTGATTGCATATTATTAGTATATAGACGTATATTGATAGTTATATGCTATTAAAAACTGATTGTAACCGTAATATGAGATCGCACCTTGGTAGGTATTTTACCTTAGAAAAAGATGAGCTGTGCAACATTATTATTTACAGTACTCATAAAGTCCAAAGATTAAAAATATTGAAATAACAAAAAAAAAAAAAAAAAAAATGGAACGAATTTGGAAATTTTCAAAAACAATGAAATCCGTTAAAAATTCTGTTAAAATCTTAATCTGTAACATTAGGGTCTATACGACGACATGGACCTGCAGATGGTCATAAACCATTACAATACTCAAATGCGAAACTTACCAAAAAAAAAAAAAAAAATCGGTGAATAACGTAGCTAAGCTAGTCGTAGCTCGTAGTATCCGCTGCGAACATTAAATACCAAATTTTAAAGAATTCCGGTAAATAATGTCGCTAAAATCAACAAAATACCGAATATAGGGAGGTACAGTTATATGGCGGCTATACGAAGACGTGGACCTACACCTACAATTTTCTGTCATAGGCTGTAGTATCCATTACAAAATTCAAATACTAAATTTGAAACAATTCCGGTGAATAATGTCGCTAAAATCATCAAAATACCGAATATCGGGAGGTACCGCTATATGGGGGCTATACCAAAACGTGGTCGTATATGGCCTATTTTCAATACCAATACCAAGTCCTGCAGACATAATATACATTTGAGTAAATTTTTTTCAATCTATTTCAATTCGTTCGGAAGCTAGAGTGATTTCCACAGACGGACAACGGGCGGAAATCGCTAAATCGACATAGAATTTTATGCTGATTAAGAATATATATACTTTGTGGGGACTAAAATGTATATATGGTGTTACAAACGGAATGGCAAACTTAATATAGCCTCCATACTATGGTGGAGGGTATAAAAAAAAAACTAAATTTGTTTCACAACTTTTTACGAAAAACGTGATTTCCAATTTGTCTACAAAATTTATCACATCAACACTTGAGTATTGAAGCTCACACACGAATCACAAGCTACTTTCCCCGCATTTAAAGACCGCTTACCATTTTTTTTTGAGGTTGACTTGTTAATGAGAAATGTTTTTTATTAACTTTTTTTGTTGAACAAAATACTGATTATGTTGTTGGTATTTAACGACACGCAATTGTTCTTACTTATTTGTTACAGCGACGATAAACAACAGAAATCATTGCTAGGCTGCTCATCATCAGTCTTAGTTACAGCGAAAAGCACAGCAACGACGACATTGTCTTGACCCCTGGAACGTATGAGCAATTGCATGTTTTAGATTTTTGTAAAGCATACGCCAGGGCGTAGGTCGCTTGACATGCCTTTGTTTTAAAATTGGCTTGGCGCTTGTGATAAGAACTCAATCAAAAAAAATGACATTAAACCCATAGCCCCCGCAGCAAATGTGAAATCAACTTTGTAGACACTCGCTGTATGATGACACTGCATGTGTGACATGACAAACTGTCAAGTTTGTTGGCCATATTGTTTGGGGCTCTTAGAAAATGGCACAGTGTGACAAGAAAAAGGGAAATTACAATTTTTATTTTTATAAATTAAAAAAAATCAACATTGCTGACCAAACAGCCAAGCGGAGGTTGGCTACTAATGCTCTGAAAACTTTTTTTATTATATAAGTTTATGATATGTAGCCTCTAGTAACTATATTAATAAAAGAGTAAAGTAATTGACTGACTGACTGACTGACTTCAGTTGAATTGATTTAATTCATCAACGCCCAGACAAAACGGATGAAACTAGAATCTTTAAATTTTGGGTGAGAGTTGCTCTTGGTCCGAAGGGTTCAGATAAGGCTGGATTTTTGGAAAGTCGTACAAGAACGGTACGAAAAGTATTTAAATGTGCTAAATATAATACCCTTTGTACTTGAGAAAGCAGTAGAGCTAGTACTCTTAAATTCGGATGAAGGTCACTGATGACCTGAGAGAAGTACTAAAGAGTGCTTGGAAATACAGGGTGAAATAAAAAACCAGTAAAGAAAGTCTCAAAGTCGGGCGGGACCGACTTTATGATACCCTACACCACTTTGCTAATTTAGTAGAGCTCCACATAACAATTGAAAGTTTTTATGGGAGAGTTCAATCATACACGCTATGATTATTATTATAATTTAAAGTTCAAATGACTAAACATGCCTAAGCATTTTTATCTTTTAAATTTGGACTTGTATTGCCATTTGGTGCACCATTAATTTGAAATCGGATAAATATATATGTGGGAGCTATATCCAAATCTGAATCGATCTCGATAAAATTTGGCAAAGATATTTCTGAGATGTATTTGATATATTTCCCTGAATATCTATGTTACGGAGTGCATATTACGATAGTGGGTAACATATATAACAAATCGGATGAACAATATATATGGGAGCTATAGCTATATCTGAACCGATCTTCACCAAATTTGACATACTAGCTTTTAGACACGAATATTTGACGTTTGATGCACAATTAAAGGTAAATCGAGCGAAGTTATATATGGGAGCTATAACCAAATCTGAACCGATCTCGATAAAATTTAGCAAATGTATTTCTGAGCTGTATTTGCTATATTTCCCCAAATATTGTTGTTACAGAGTGCATATTACGGCTGCGGAGGACAAAAATAATACATCGAATAAACAATATATATGGGAGCTATAGCTATATCTGAACCGACCAAATTTGGCATACTTATTTTCAGGCGGGCTGATATTACAGGTTTAGTGCACAATAAAAGGCAAATCGGACGAAGATATTTATGGGAGCTATATCTAAATTTTGACCGATTATCTCTAATTTCAATAGAGTTCGTCCTTGGGCCAAACAAATGATCTGTGAAAACTTTCATCTGGATAGAGCAATAAATGCGAACTGTACTTTGTTTACAAAAATACATGGACAGACGGACAGACAGACGGACGGACGGACGGACGGACTGGCATAAATCGACTCAGAATGTGATTCTATGCAGATCATCAAAAGGAACTATGGGTCTATCTCGTTTCCTTTTGCCTGTTACAAACATATGCACAAAGACATAATACCCTGACCATTTTGTGGTGTAGGGTATAAAAACTGCAACAAAGTCAAACGCCATTTTACACTTTTATGTAATTTTATTGAATGAAAGCAAAGCATGACGGAAATAGTATCAAATTTTAGAAAAGGTTTAGATTTGTTCAAATTGGTCACCTTTGGCACGAATTATGGCCTTCAAACGGCCGATGAAACCGCACGCTGCCCAATTGTTGCTCTGCGATGTTTTGGACCATTCCCGGCGAAGCGGTTGCTTCAGGTGATCGACACTTTGGTATCTTGCTTTGGAAATGAAACGAGGAATCTCATTTTGTAACCATTCTGGGTTAGCGCGTGCTGAGTGCGATGGTGCTGAGGTTTTAATAACCCTCCAGAATATTTTCGCGATAATATTCGGCATTTATTCTGAGGCCACGGTCGATTAATACGAGCGGAGAGCGACCATCGCCTTTTATGGCGGCCCACACCATTACCATGGCCGGCGCTTGAGTTGTGGTGGGCAACCGAAGATGCACATTTTCAGCTGACCTCTTTGGCACGGTCATTTTGTTTGTTTACAAACTGCTGGACAACGAATGTTTTTTCATTGGAGAAACTCAAATTCGGCAGTTCACAACCTTAGGTCAAGCGAGGCAAGTATTTAGCTCTATTTTCTTTCTGTTGCGGTGTAAGTTCTTACACATTTTGGAATTTCAATGACTTTACCCCGAGCTCATTTTTCAATATTTGCCTAATGGAATATTGCGATATGTTAAGGTCACGAACCAATTTCCGGCCACTGCGACGCGGATTTCGATCGCTTCTTTACTTTTCGAACCATTTCTGCTGATGTTGCTGTTTTTTTTTTCGTCCACTTACTTGACGTCGGGCTACGCTACCAGTATCACGGTAAGGAGTGATGGTACGAAACACAAAAGATTTATTCACATTTAAATGCTGGAGTGCTCTACCGATAGCCACTTGTGGTTTTCCAGCCAAATATAAAGAAATCACACTATCTCGCTTGAATTCCATCACGAAGAACACTATTCTGGAAAATTCTCACCAAAATGCTCTTGTACGCTTGTAAACAATATAATGAGCTGTCACTGGAATAATTTTAACAGCTGTCGGAAGAGTGGCTTAGAAATGACAGTAGTTTGACGTTAGTTGCAGATTTTTTATCTTACTCTGTACGCACGGTAGATATTGGACCTACGCAGGGTAGTCCATGCCAACATCTCCTTCATAAACACTGTATCACCAACTAAATTCCAGCATGTGGCATTTTGTTTTTCTCCTCGTATAGCAATTGAGACTATGCAAGGGAATCGAAAAAGAGCCAGCTAACTACAAGCTTGCAAATATTTTTGCTACTTCTCGCCAAGTAATTAATGGCGACCACAATGCAAGTGAATTTTGATTGCGTGCGGATTTATGTCTGATTTTTGTTGGGTCATTCCTTTTGTTGTTGTTTTTTTGGATTGCTGTCGGCCAGGCCAAGTGCATAGCATATTAAATGAGATTTTTTTTTGGTTCAGCAGTTGTTGCATGGATTTGATGTCCACTCCTTGTGGTTGCTTTTGTTGTTGTGTTTGCAGACACATATCAAATGCAAATACTAATCGAATTAACTGAACAGCAACAACAATCACAATTTGCCACAAAATGCTTGAAAATCGTTTTGTGGTATAAAAAGCCTGTCGTTGGCATGAAGGCCCTTTGATAAAATCAAATCAGTTTTTTGGAATAACAACATAGTTCGATAGTTCAGCGAAATTGAATAAATAGTTGGCATTCCAGTTGTTGTTGTTGTTGGAGTGTGTGTGCGTGTGTTTTTTGTTGTTGCTGTGAAATGTAATTGGAAATTGTAATCATTTAAATGCAAATTAATTTAGTGAAGTGAAGTCCTTCTCAAGCCACAGCTCACAATTCCCAACGCAAAGGGTGTTGGAAGTATTCCAAACCATCGCGCCATGAGAGATGACATGGCGGAATACTTCAAATCACCCCGTTTTGAAGCTCAAATGGGCAATGGCTCTGTATTGGATAGAGTAAGTAGTTTGAAATTTTATTTCATTATTATTTTTTGAAGTGATAAATAAAAAAATAATAATAATAAATTAGGAAAAAAGGTTATTATATGATATCCTGTAACCAAGACCAATTGAAGAGATTCTTGACATACTTTCGAGAGTTAGGCAGTTAAATACTCAACAAATTAATAAAAAATTATACATGAAAAAATCTATGTAAAGTATATCAGCTTTCAAAGCAGCATCAGTTTTCAAAGCAGGAAACAAGTAAGAAAACATTAAGTTCGGCCGGGCCGAACTTTTTTTACCTTAGGGTAATGGAAACATTAGAACCAATTATGACCCACTAATACCAAATTTTAGACATATTCGTGGGAAAATGTGGCAAAAATCATCAAAATACCGAATATCGTGAGATACCGTTATATGGGGGAAATACCAAAGCGTGAAACTACACATGCAATGTTTCGCCACACGAAATGACCCTTAAATGCCAATTTTCAGACAAATCCGTGAAAAAATGTGGCAAAAATAATCAAAATACCGAATATCGGGAGGTACCTTTATATGGGGATTATACCAAAATGTGGACCGATATATCTCATTTTCAATACCAACCATCCTAGATACAATACAAATTATTCTACTAAATTTTGACGCTAAAATAATGTGGCCTATATCGTGATTTCAACAGACAGACATACGAACATCGTTAAATCGGCCTAGAATTTTATGCTGATGGAGTCTACGACGAATATTTAGGGATGTTACAAACTGAATGACAAATTTAATATACCCTCCTTTTCAAGGTGGAGGGTATAAAAATGATTAATATTTTCATTATTAAAATGAGAATATCTCACAGTTTTTGTCGATGGCTTCGCATCGATAATGAAAATAATACTCAAAAGGATTGGGAGAGGGCAAGAATATCAATTAAAGGTGTTAATTATTGTGCCATTACCATTGACCGCTTGGGAAAAGTTCAAGCTAGGAATCATGGAATACGACATTGGCTGTCATTAATATAGAAGCTGTTGAAGAAGAACTTTGGAAAAAAGCAGAAGAGCATGAGTTGTGAGATGAAAAAACTGCAACCAACTTCAGACTGCTGTCATTTCTAAGCCACTCGTCCGACAGCTGCTAAAATTATTCCAATGACAGCTTATTATATTGTTTATAAGCGTACAAAAGCATTTTGGTGAGAATTTTCCAGAAAATAGTTATTCGTGATGGAATTCAAGCGTGATAGTGTGATTTATTTATATTTGGCTGGAAAACCACAAGCGGCTGTCGTTAGAGCAATTCAGCATTTAAATGTGAATAAATCTTGTGTGTCTCGTAGCATCGCTCGTTACCGTGATACTGGTAGCGTAGCCCGACGTCAAGGAAGTGGACGGAAGAAAACAGCAACATCAGCAGAAATGGTTTGAAAAGTAAAGATGTGACTTGATCGAACCCGTGCGTCGCAGTGGCCGAAAAATGGCTCGTTAGCTGAACATATCGCAATATTCCATTCGGCAAATATTGAAAATATGAGGTCGGGGTAAAGCCGTTGAAATTCCAACAAGTAAAAAAGCTGTAAGTTCGGCCGGGACGAACTTTGAATATCCTCCACCATTTGGTACAAATTTGGCAATTTTCAAATAAAATAAATAAATAAATAAATAAATAAAATAAAATAAAATCCGTTAGAAAATTTGTTAAATATTAAAAATACCGAATATAGTCGTATATTAGGGTCTATACGACGACGTGGACCTGCAAAGGCAAATTTTATCATAAGCTATTAAAATATTCAAATGCGAAACTGTCGCTAAAATCATTAAAATGCCGAGTATCGGGGGGTACCGTTAAATGGGGGATATAGAAGAAGTGAACCTGCACAGACCATTTTCTGGCATAGTCTGTAGTATGTATTACGATCTTCAAATACCAAATTTGAAATAGTTCCGGTAAATAATGTCGCTAAAATGGAAGATATACGAAGACGAGGGCCTACATGGCTCATTTTCTGTCCTAAGTTGTAGTATCTATTACGAACTTCAAATACCACATTTGAAACAATTCCGGTAAATAATGTCGCTAAAATCAGCAAAATACCGCATATAGGGAGGTACCGTTATATGGGGGCTTTACGAAGACGTGGACCTACATAACCCATTTTCAATACCAAAAGTCTTGCAGACATCATACACATTTGAGTAAAATTTTATAAACCTACTTTATTTCGTTTGGAGGCTAGAGGGATTTCCGCAGATGGATAGACGGACAGACGGACGGACATTGCTAAATCGACATAGAATTTTATGCTGATCAGGAATATATTTACTTGGTGGGGTCAAAAAGGTATATTTCGAGGTGTTACAAACGGAATGACAAACTTAATATGCCCTCCATACTATGGTGGAGGATATAAAAAGTGCAAGAACTTACACCGTAACAAAAAGAAAATATACTCAAAAGAGCTAAAGAGTTGCTTTGCTTGGCCGAAAGTGGTGAACTCTGACGAATTTGACGAATTTGAATTTTCGATGAGAAAAGATTCGTTGTCCAGCAATTTGTAAACAAACATAATGATCGTGTTTACTTGCCAAAGAGGTCAGTTGAAAATGTGCACATTCGATTGGCCACCAGAACTCAAGCGCCGTCCATGGTGATGGTGTGGGCCGCTATAACGGCCGATGGTCGGTCTCCGCTCGCATTAATCGACCGTGGCATCAGAATAAATGCCGAATATTATCGCGAAAATATTTTGGGGGGAAGCCGCAGACCTTGGACACTCCAACAGGACTCAGCACACGCCACCCAAGAATGGTTACAAAATCAGGTTCCTCGTTTCATTTCCAGCGCACAACAAAATCTCCGGATACCAATTCGTTGGACTGTTGTGTCGGGAGTATTGTGGAAAGTAAGGCTGGCACTAAAAAATACCAATGTGTCGATCACCTCAAGCAAGCGCTTCGCCGGGATGGGCCAAAATACCGCAGAGCAGCATTCGGGCAGCGTGTGATGGTTTCATTGGCAATTTGAAGGGCATAATTCGTGCCAAAGATGACCAATTCGAACCAATCTAAAATTATTCTAAACATTGATGCTATTTCCGACATATTTTGCTTTCACTCAATAAAATTTAAAAAAAATATATATAAAAATTATGGCGTTTGACTTTGTTGTTGAATTTAATAGTAAATAATTTGCAGAATATTTGATTTGCTAAGATCTCGTTTAAATGGAGATTTTAGCCATTTTTTTTGAAAAAGGACCAAAAATATCTCCTTTTTTGACTCGCATGAGGGTTAAAAGTTAATCCTTGTGTTTTCGTCGGCATTATTGCCGAAGGTACTATATACCTAAAATCAACGTATCCCAAGGAATCTCAATCCGAAAATTTCCAAAAGTGTGGAAAAGGGGGACTTGTCCCCTCTTCTTTGGTTAGTTTGCGATGTAAACTTTCAAACTTGTATAGCACAATGTTAATATATGACAACTTTTAATCGTTGCTAAAAATCCTCTTCCATTCCATTACAGGTCACCCCGGACATGGCCCATTTGGTGAATCCCTATTGGGGACGTTTTCCACCCATGCCCTCGGCAACGAGTCAACTCTTTGGCATTTTTACCGCTGCAATTATGGTTGTGTCATGTTGTGGCAATGGTGTGGTGGTCTACATTTTCGGTGGCACCAAATCCCTGCGTACCCCAGCCAACTTACTTGTCCTCAATTTGGCCTTTTCCGATTTTTGTATGATGCTCTCCCAGTCACCGGTTATGATCATTAATTTCTATTTCGAAACATGGATTTTGGGTCCGCTGTGGTGTGACATCTATGCCATATGTGGTTCGATGTTTGGTTGTGTCTCGATATGGTCGATGTGTATGATAGCCCTGGATCGTTACAATGTGATTGTGAAGGGAGTCTCGGGGCGGCCGATGACGGTGAAATTGGCCTTGGTAAAAATAACCTTTATTTGGATGTTTGCAACATTTTGGACCCTCATGCCGCTGCTGGGGTGGAGTGCGTAAGTAGGCGGGAGGAAGATAAAAATTTTATGCAAATTATATATTTTTCTTTTTGGTTTGCAGGTACGTCCCCGAAGGGAATTTAACAGCCTGCAGCATTGATTACATGACACGAGACTGGAATCCACGTTCCTACTTGATCTCATACTCCTTGCTGGTCTACTACACACCCCTATTCCTGATTTGCTACTCCTATTGGTTTATCATTGCTGCAGTCTCTGCCCATGAAAAGGCCATGCGTGAACAAGCCAAGAAAATGAATGTAAAATCGCTACGCTCCTCCGAAGATTGTGAAAAAAGTGCCGAAGCTAAATTGGCCAAAGTGGCATTGACAACGATATCGCTATGGTTTTTGGCATGGACTCCGTATTTAATTATCTGTTATCATGGACTATTTAAAATCGATGGTCTAACACCAACAACAACCATTTTGGGTGCAACATTTGCCAAAACCAGTGCTGTCTACAATCCCATTGTCTATGGGTTGAGTCATCCCAAATATCGTCTCGTTCTCAAGGAGAAATGTCCGATGTGTGTTTTTGGCTCGACAGAGGAACCCAAACCGGACAGTGATACCCAGACCACCTCACAGGCAGAATCCCAGGCTTAGACAAACCAAAAATGTGATGAACTATGCTTACGAACAAAACAAAACAAAGAATAAAGAGAAATGATAAAAATGCAACGCCAATAAAAATGGCCAAAAATTAAAAAAAAAAAAAACGTGGAATAGAAAAAATTTAGAAAATATGTAAAAAGTGACGAAAAAAAAAAATAAAACGAAAGGTATTGTATTTTAATAAAAATTAATGTTATGGCATACAAGAAAAATTAAAAAAAATCTATTTTATTTATCGTAGTGAGTGTATATCCCTTGAAACGAATACAAATTCATTATGTTCGCCCATACTTATATAAGGCGATAATTAAATTATGAAATCCTGAAATGTGATATTTACATTACTGATGATATCTGTGCTTGAGATGTGGCGGTGGTTTGTACAAAAAGTAGTTAGCGGTACTAAATTGCGTGAAGGAATAGAACTGTAATCCCAAAATTTGATATTAAGGTCTCGTTTGGTGTCTGGTGGTGATTTTAATAATTGAAAAAATATCCTCTAAAAAAGTCACGATTATTGGTCCTTTAAAAAATATTTTTTAAAAATCCTCGATTATGTGTCTGAGGGACTTTCAAAAAATATTCTCTAAAAGTCCAAGTTATTTGGTCTGAGGTTCCTTGAAAAAATTTTCTTTAAAAGTCCACGATTATTAGTCTGAGAGTCCTTGAGAAAATAATCTATGAAAATCCACGATTGTTGGCTTGAGGATCACTGAAAAAATATTCTTTAAAAATCCACAATTATTGGTCTAAGGGTCCTTGAAAAAATATTCTTTAAAAATGCACGATTATTAGTCTGTGAGTCCTTGAGAAAATAATCTATGAAAATCCACGATTGTTGGCTTGAGGATTCCTGAAAAAATATTCTTTAAAAATCCACGATTATTGGTCTGAGGGTCCATGCAAAAAAAAATTAAAAATATACGATTATTGGCCTGTGTATCCTTGAAGAATTACTCTTTAAAAATCCTCGATTATGTGTCTGAGGGTCCATGCAAAAAAAAAAAAATTAAAAATATACGATTATTGGCCTGTGTATCCTTCAAGAATTACTCTTTAAAAATTCTCGATTATGTGTCTGAGGGTCCTTCAAAAAATATTCTCTTAAAGTCCACGTTTTTTGGTCTGAGGATCCTTGAGAAAAAAATTCTCTAAAAATCCACGATTAATGGTCTGATGGTCTTTGAAAAAATATTCTTTAAAAATCCACGATCATTGGTCTAAGGGTCCTTGAAAATTATTATTTAAGAATCACCGATTAATGGTCTAAGGATCCTTGAGAAAAATATTCTCTAAAAATCCACGATTATTGGTCTGATGGTCCTTGAAAAAATATTCTTTAAAAATCCACAATTGAAGATCTGTAAGTCCTTGAAGAAATATTGGTCTGAGGGTCTCTGAAAAAATATTCCTTCAAAATCCACGATCATTGGTCTAAGGGTCCTTGAAAAATATTCTTTAAGAATCATCGATTATTGGTCTAAGGATCCTTGAGAAAAATATTCTCTAAAAATCCACGATTATTGGTCTGATGGTCCTTGAAAAAATATTCTTTAAAAATCCACAATTGAAGATCTGTAAGTCCTTGAAGAAATATTCTATAAAAATCCAAGATTATTGGTCTGAGGGTCTTTGAAAACATATTCTTTAAAAGTGCACGTTTTTTGGTCGGAGAGTCCTTGAAAAAATACCCTTTAAAAATCCACGATTGTAGATCTGTAAGTCCTTGAATAAGTATTCTTTAAAAATCCACGATTATTGTTCTAAGGGTCCTTGAAAAATATTCTTTAAGAATCACCGATTAATGGTCTAAGGATCCTTGAGAAAAATATTCTCTAAAAATCCACGATTATTGATCTGATGGTCCTTGAAAAAATATTCTTTAAAAATCCACAATTGAAGATCTGTAAGACCTTGAAGAAATATTTTATAAAAAATCCAAGATTATTGGTCTGAGGGTCTTTGAAAACATATTCTTTAAAAACCCACGTTTTTTGGTCTGAGAGTCGTTGAAAAAATACTCTTTAGAAATCCACGATTGTAGGTCTGTAAGTCCTTGAATAAGTATTCTTTAAAAATCCACGATTATTGTTCTAAGGGTCCTTGAAAAATATACTACACAATTATTAGTCCTTAAATAATATTCCTTAATATTCCTTAAAAATCCATACCCTCGATAAAATTTGCAAAGATATTTCTGAGCTGTTTTTCATATATTTCCCTGAATATCGTTGTTACGGAGTGCATATTACGGCTGTGGGTAACAAATATAACAAATCGGATGAACAGTATATATGAGAGCTATAGCTATATCTGAATCGATCTTCACCAAATTTGGCATACAACCTTCTAGACTCAATTCGATCGCATGTGCCAAATTCCATTCCATTTGGCCAAATATTAGACGTTTGGTGCACAATTAATTTGAAATCAGATAAAGATATATCTGGGAGCTACATCCAAATCTGAACCGATCTCGATAAAATTTGGCAAATATATTTCTGAGCTGTATTTGATACATTTCCCTGAATATCGTTGTTACGGAGTGCATATTACGGCTGTGGGTAATAAATATAACAAATCGGATGAACAATATATGGGAGCTAAAGCTATATCTGAACCGATCTTCACCAAATAAACATATACAATTATTTCTTACCTTGGAGTTCCCCAAGGCAGTGTTTTGGGGCCAATTTTATATACGATATTTACATATGATCTTCCCACTGATGACAAAATAACAGTAGCCACATATGCAGATGACACAGCGGTGTTAGCTGTAAATAAGTCCTCTGTTGATGCCTCAGAAATACTTCAAGAACATTTAAACCTCATTGAAAAATGGCTCATGAAATGGAACATAAAAGTAAATGCTGACAAATCAACCCATGTAACTTTTAGCCTTAATAGGGGTGACTGCCCAGAAGTATATTTAAATGGTGAAGTTATACCATCATCTAATTACGTAAAATACTTAGGCTTAAACATTGATAGACGGTTAACTTGGAAGAAACATATACAATTGAAGAGGCAACAGCTTGAAAAACAAACAAAACGGATGTTTTGGCTCTTGGGCTCAAGATCACAAATGACATTAGAAAATAAACTTCTGCTATATAAAACTATGCTAAAACCAATCTGGACATTTGGAATTGAGCTTTGGGGTACATCAAGCAACTCCAATATTGAGATTTTGCAGAGGTATCAATCAAAAACATTGAGACTGATCACAAATGCGCCCTGGTATATGAGCAACAAAAATATTCATAAGGACCTTAAAGTAGAAATTGTTCGCGACGAAATAAGGAAGTATAGCACAAACTACCTCAACAGACTTAGTAGTCACTCAAATATTCTAGCCATAACTCTTCTTGATGACACAAATGAATTAAAACGACTGAAAAGACTTAATGTCCTTGACTTGCCATTCTTAACATGATTAAATTGTATATTAGTTAAGTAGAAAAAGTCATTCTTTTGAAATATTGTATTTGTGTGTTAAGTTTAATGGAGCTTAACCGATAATGTGATGGTTTTTGATGATAGTTAACTTATTTGCTTATTATTTTTGTATTGTAAATAGATCGCAAATAAAGACACAATTATAAAAAAAAAAATATTACGGCTGTGGGTAACAAATATAACAAATCGGATGAACAATATATATGGGAACTATACTTATATCTGAACCAATCTTCAATCCACGATTAATGGTCTGAGGGTCCTTTCAAAAATATTTTTTAAAAATCTGCGATTATTGCCCTGTGTATCCTTGAAGAAATAATCTTTAAAAATCCTCGATTGTGTGTCTGAAGGTCCTTAAAAAATGTTCTCTAAAAGTCCACGTTTTTTGGTCTGAGGGTCCTTGAAAACATTTTCTTTAAAAATTCACGATTGTTGGTCTGAGGGTCCTTGAAAACCCATTCTTTTAAAATCCACGATTGTTGGTCTGAGGGTCTTTGAAAACATATTCTTTAAAAGTCCACGTTTTTTGGTCTGAGAGTCTTTGAAAAAATATTCCTTCAAAATCAACGATCATTGTCCTTGAAAAATATTCTTTGAGAATCACCGATTATTGGTCTGAGGGTCCTTGAAAAAATACTCTTTAAAAATCCACAATTGAAGATCCTTGTGTGTAAGTCCTTAAAGAAATATTCTTTAAAAAACCAAGATTATTTGTCTGAGGGTCTTTGAAAACATATTCTTAAAAAATCCACGATTATTCATCTGAAGATCCTTGAAAAAATATTCTTTAAAAATCCACGATTATTGGTTCTTGAAAGAATATTCCTTAAAATTTCACTATTATTGGATTTCAATCTCAATAAATCGGCTTGAGAAATGTAAATTATGAAAATCCCACATGTCAATAGCTTCATCTATAAGGACAAATAAGGCTTCCTAACCCATTTGCATTTGTTTTCGCCAAAAAATTTTAGAAAATGTTTATTAAAATTTACTAATTTTTCGGGGATAGATTTCCTGCCCAAGCCATGATTTTTTGTGCATAAAGTTTTCAAAAAAAAAAAAAATATTTTTTAAAAGGGTTTCCTTAAAAAAAGTTCGGCCCTGTCGAACTTAACGCTGTTTAATTTTGTCATTCCGTTTGTAACTCCTCGAAATACTCATGTCAGACCCAACAAAGTACACATATTCCTGATCAGCGTAAAATTCTAAGACGATTTAGCCATGTCCGTCTGTCTGCCTGTCGGTTGTAATCATCTTTCGAACGAATTGAGGCTCAAATTTGCTCACATGTATATTTTGCCAGTAGGCAGGTTAAGTTCATAAATGGGCCACGTAGGTCCACGTTTTCATATAGCCCCCATATAAAGGTACCTTCCGATATTCGGTATGTTGATGGCTTTAGCGACATTATTCACCGGAATTGTTTCAAATTTGGCATTTGAAGTTCGTAATGGATACTACAGCCTAAGACAGAAAATTGTCTGTGCAGGTTCACGTCTTCGTATAGCCCCCCCTATAACGGTACCTCCCGATATTCGGTATTTTGATGATTTTAGCGACATTATTCACCGATTTTTTCTAAGTTTCGCATTTGAATATTGAAATGGCTTATGAAAAAAATTACCTATGCAGGTCAATGTCGTCGTATTGACCCTAATATAACGGCTGCATTCGGTATTTCTAAGATGTTAACAGAATTTTTAACGGATTTAATTTTTTTTTTTTTTTTTTGAAAATTGCCGAA